TCCTTGGTGTCCGCGGGGAGCTGGGGAGGAGGTCGACGAACTTCCGTTCATCGATCCCCTCCCCGTTCTATGGGACCGGGAGCGATGCAGATTGCATCACTTCCGGTCCCTGGGCTGTCAGTTCTGGGCTCCTGGAGCCCAGCTATAAGCTATTGAAGTGTGATCTGCGTATAAAAACGACGAACGCGCTACACATGTTGGGTATCGCCACGCACGCCGGAGTGAGAGCAATAATTCTAGGGCCAGTATTCTTGGGGTATATCTCTAAATTGATGACCTGTGGGGGCTTTTAAAGCGTCTTCTATGGACTTTTTGGGGTACTGCAGTTTTTCGCCGTTTCACGGACGCACACAATTTGTAACCTGGGCATGTTGGGTATCGTTTTACTCGCTGTAACCTCATCTTTTATATTTCATTAAATGGGTATTTTGTTGTGTTTTGGGGCATTTAATTACATTTTTCACTAAATGTTGGGGTTTAATAAGGAGTTGTGCTAATATTGCGCAACATAAAAATTTGCAACTACCACCATTTTATTCTATAGGGTCTTGGCATTCAGAAAATATATAATGTTTGGGGGTTCTGAGTAATTTTCAGGCCTAAAATGTGGAATATAACATGGGTGCAAAAAATTTTAAAAAAAGGCCTCAGTCATGAAGGGGTTAAACCCCATTTTTTTTCAAGATTTCACCTCGTGGTCATTTGATGGTTACAATTCAAACCTCTAATTCTACAGACAGGATTATCCATTGACGGCCATTTTTTCAGAAAGCAAAGTGTAGTGTACAAAGCCCTTGCTGGGATACACAGTATTCCAGATGCATGCCGAATGACTGGATGTGATCTAGCATTTGGGTAAAAGGGCGACATTCTCTAATTATTCACTGCAACACCCCTTGCTTATTTTTGCCAACTGTGCAAGTATCTTGCCTTAGAAAAAAGAATCGCCTGCTGTCTTCTAAACTTGATTGAATAGCTGCTAAAATGTTACTTAGTCTATGCACTAGGGATGCACCCATATATCGGCCTGTCCCAGCGGGGAGGAGAGAAACTCTGACAGCCGGACGAGCGCTGCGGGAGGAGAGCACTGTGAGCGGCCAGCGTCTCTCCTCCCACACCGCTCAGCCTCCTGCCAAGGCTGTCACAGGAGGCTGAGCGAGCGGTGTGGTGAGGAGAGCTGTGACAGCTGTCAGAATGGAGAGCCAATGCAAACACTCAGCGATCAGTGATCGCTGAGTGTTTGTACATAATTGAGGACATAGTATATTTACTGTATCCTCAATTATGAATTCATGGGAGTGTTCATCACCTCCTGTTCATTCATAATTGTGTTCACTAAATGTTGGGGTTTAATAAGGAGTTGTGCTAATATTGCGCAACATAAAAATTTGCAACTACCACCATTTTATTCTATAGGGTCTTGGCATTCAGAAAATATATAATGTTTGGGGGTTCTGAGTAATTTTCAGGCCTAAAATGTGGAATATAACATGGGTGCAAAAAATTTTAAAAAAAGGCCTCAGTCATGAAGGGGTTAAACCCCATTTTTTTTCAAGATTTCACCTCGTGGTCATTTGATGGTTACAATTCAAACCTCTAATTCTACAGACAGGATTATCCATTGACGGCCATTTTTTCAGAAAGCAAAGTGTAGTGTACAAAGCCCTTGCTGGGATACACAGTATTCCAGATGCATGCCGAATGACTGGATGTGATCTAGCATTTGGGTAAAAGGGCGACATTCTCTAATTATTCACTGCAACACCCCTTGCTTATTTTTGCCAACTGTGCAAGTATCTTGCCTTAGAAAAAAGAATCGCCTGCTGTCTTCTAAACTTGATTGAATAGCTGCTAAAATGTTACTTAGTCTATGCACTAGGGATGCACCCATATATCGGCCTGTCCCAGCGGGGAGGAGAGAAACTCTGACAGCCGGACGAGCGCTGCGGGAGGAGAGCACTGTGAGCGGCCAGCGTCTCTCCTCCCACACCGCTCAGCCTCCTGCCAAGGCTGTCACAGGAGGCTGAGCGAGCGGTGTGGTGAGGAGAGCTGTGACAGCTGTCAGAATGGAGAGCCAATGCAAACACTCAGCGATCAGTGATCGCTGAGTGTTTGTACATAATTGAGGACATAGTATATTTACTGTATCCTCAATTATGAATTCATGGGAGTGTTCATCACCTCCTGTTCATTCATAATTGTGGTTATAGTAAATACACTATGTCCTCATGTTATGAATGAACATGAACACTCAGGAATCCTCTATACTGTTCATATACAACAGGGGCTGGAGAAAAAGAGATTGAGGACTCTGTGTTCTCAATCTTTTTCTATTTTAAAAGGGAAATATTAGGGGTCTGTTTAAACCTCCAATATTTCCCCGGAGCCCCTAAAAGTAAAGTAAAAAATATTTAATAAAAAATGAATGAAAATTAATTTAAAAAAATAAAGTTTATAAAAAAAAGAAAATAAAAATAAAATATTTAAAAACATTTAAATAAAAAACATTTTCGGTTTTGGCCTGACATTGTTTTTAATTTTGGTTCTGAAATTTCCATTTCGATGCACCTCAGTCAAAACATTTCATATTTCTTTTTGGATAAAGGTTAGAACCCCTGTCAAGGTCTATTGCTGTTTTGTATTCATTAGGCAAGTTTCCTCTTATTTTCTGAATGGTCACCAGGATAGGAAGCAAAGAGAAATCTTCCCAACAGATATGGATGGCAATAAAAACATAGGCAATCTTCTCACTTAAATGAAAAGGACAATTGCTCTCAGTAAGTTTCTTAGGGAATCTAGACTTTACCCCGAGAACTTCCAGAATATGAACTCACCTGTCCAGGAAGATATCTGGCAGTGGAGGATATGTCTGCATATCTGGAACTCTCTCATGTACTATAACCATTATGAACGAGGTGAAGCCAAACACTATGAAAACATAAACACAGCTAATTGCGGTCTTCCAGTACTCTGGATCAAGTCTTTTTGGAGGATGCTTGTTTTTTCCATTAGAGTACTGATGAGGTTCTACACTAGAGTCTGTTCCATGTTCATCATAATCTCGTGTCAGTTCTCCATTACACAACCAGTCTGGACTAGCTGGTGCACTGAGGCTGGGGGTTCCAGGACTTGCCTCCACACTCAATCCCATTTCCTCTAGGACGCTGGCATGCTGCTTCTGCAGTTTCCGAATAGAAAGCATAAGACGCTTGATGTCACCAAGAACTTTAATTTCCAATGGTGGAGAGCGCAAGTCATACTCTGTTAGTGCCATCAAAGCTGTGCCATCTAATCGGTGTTTGTTACACAGGAGATCTACAAGGTCAAAAAACCCTTCTTCTCTCATCCATTTGGCCACATGTTTAGTGGTCCAGCGACGAATACATAACTGGCTGTTGCTCGCCATAGTTTTAGTAGACACCTGTGTTGACAGAAAAAAAAGGTTAGATGTTTGTTGTGCAGCATTTGGGCCAATATTCAGCTCAAAGTGTTATAACAATCTTGTGAATACTGTTTATTGCAGAGGTTCTATGTTCTTTTCTGTATTAAATGTGTATATATATATATATATAATCTATGGGACGGACCTATATAAGGTTTTGGTTATCTAACCTAAATACAAGGTAGAGGGTCTGTAAGGATAACGCAAGCTGAAGTTACCATATTAATCATCTTTTCACACAGACCTCAGGTGCAGGTTTCTGGTTGTTCACATTGTTGGAGGTTGCAAAATCTTCCCAGCTATTGGTAGGCAGTGGTCTTACTAAGCAGCCAAACGTCTGATATTAGATTTAGAAATGCAGTCTAAGAAAGTTGAAACTTAAACAGAAATCTCAGATGGTCTCAGCAAAGCAGGCTTCCAAGGGAGAAAAGGGCAAGGTTAAAGAAAACCTATTAGGCTGTGTTCCTGGCTGCTGCCTGACAATCTTGCTTTCTGTGGCACACATCAACTGCAATAAATATCCGACAGTATGTGGCCTAACTAGTGACCACGCAGAAGCTGAGAGTTGAGCAGGTGATGCGCTGTACAGAAGTAAGACCATCCATACGAGCGGTTACAAACCCATGTCAGATGTCCACATCATCCAGATACTCTTCCCTCCTCTTCACAACACATTACAACGATTTCCTGTGGCAGGTAAAGGCTACTACTAAAGACGCAACTATCAAAGCGCTAGCTTTTTTTACATTCCTATTTTATTTAGCTTTATTATTTCATACCTTGTGATAATCTATTTCTGACTGGATCAAAGGGTTGTTTTTTTTTATCAAACACATGTAACACAATGCTCAATGGTATATCTAACAGACCAAGAGGTAACAAATAGGGGAAGTTTGTCGGGTTTTAAATAAACTTTAAAGAAGAACTCTAGGAAATGTAAAAATTAAGGCCTCATTCAGATGCAGCGTACACGTCTGTGCGGCGTGCACACCCGTAAACTGGTCGATCCCGGGAGGTACAGGTGCTGCGTGTAATTGCACACAGCAGGCTGTTCTTCCCTATGGGAGGATGCGGCTGTACGCTGTCATCTGCACACTTGAACAGGTCCTTTTAGGTCAGTGTGTCCTCAATTGGATGCACACTGCCTGCGTCCAAGTGCGGACACCCGGACCCGCACGGATGAGCAAGTTACGGTGTGCGGATGACAGCGTACAGCAGCGTCCTCCCATAGGGAAGAACAGGCTGCTGCGTGAAATTACACACAGCACCTGTCCCTGATGGGATTGTGGGTGTGCACACTGCACGGACTTGTACGCCCCCCGTCTGAATGAGGCCTAAACCTTGCAGTGCGACTACCCCCGCACTGCAAGGGTTAACTGCTCGATTTGGTCTAGGGGCTAAAATAAAAAATATATACTTACCTAATCCTCAGTCCTGGAGCGGTGAGCGCTCACCCTTGCCCCCTCCACTCCGGTGGTGGAAGGTCCCTCAGCCTCCTCACCACTAACGCAGCCGCATTGATGACGTCACAGGTCCTTAGACTGCCGGAGCCAAGTGGGACTGAGGATCAGATGAGTATGTTCTTTTCTTTAGCCCCTAGACCAAAACAAGCAGTTAACCCTTGAAGTGCGGGGGTAGTCGCACTACAAGGGTTAATTTTTTTCCCGAAATTCTTTAAATTATTGGGCTGCCTTAATGCAACTCACCTCAAAGCTCAATATATGCATCATTGCAGCACTGCAGTCTGAATAGGTCCTAACACTTCAAAACTATTGCTGAGAGCTGCTGTACCTGTTCTTGCTCATCATGAACTGAAAAGTTAGGTTAGTTGTCAAGGTGCTCAGTTGTCAAGGTGCTCTTTGTCCATTGACCATACCCAAGATGCCCAACAATCTCCACCGAGGGCCAAACATACTGCATCTATAGTAATATCAGGCAGGCAGGAGGGCAATCCCAGGGCTGGTTATCAGGCAGTCAGGTCTCTGACAACATGGAAAGATGGGCAGCCTGAATGACCAATGGAAAGGTATAGGAGGCAGGAGGGAACAGATCAGCTCTCAACACAATCAGGAAGTGCTTAAATTTGTACATTAGAGCACCCTGGGGTTGGGGATAGCCAGATTCTGAAGTGGGCATTCCAAGGTATGTGCAGGCACTAGTGCTTTAGTATCTTTAGCCTACTGACAATGTTACTTTAACAAGTTATAAACACATATTTGCAATCAGTAGTCAGATTATGCGACTGTGCCACTTTGTAGTAAACTAGATAAGTAAATACAAAGTACTACTGATACAGAAGCAAATCCAGATAAAACTTGGTTGGCATACACGCCTTCAGTGACGTTTTGAGTGTAAACTGCAGTTAGTCAGTGTAGTTATATACAGTATTATGAAATGAAAAGAACACAAAGCCAACATTAACAAAAAATAAGTAGCACAGGTAGCCAGTGTGCTTTAAAGGAGAACTATGGGGAAACATTTTTACCCATAGTTCTCTTCAGGGTCACAGGAGGACATACAGTATACTGTGTCCTACGGTGACCCAAAACTCAGCATATAGCGGGCTATTGCCCACTACATGCTGAGAGTGCAGAGCCACTCCACAGCTGGGATGGATCCTGACAATACTGTCGAGATCCACCCTGCTGGCTGATTGACAGCTGGCTCTGCCCCCTCCCCCGTCCGTTCCTCCAGTCAATGCTAGACAAACAGAGAGGGGAGGGGGGGGAATCCCTGCGGGGAGCAGCGATTGACAGTCACCGCTCTCTGCAGTGAGAGGATCGGGAAGTTAGCGATCGGTGGTATGTGTTTGCTGACTTCCCGATCACTAGAGCCGACCTGTGACAGCTTCTTTGTCACAGGTCGGCTTGAATTATGGGGATGAGTGTTTTTCACTCACCCCATAATTCTCCTTTAAAGTTTGTTTTTTTCTATTATTGTCAAAGGAAGCACACAGTCCAAACTGATCAACTAAAGCTATTTAAATGCCTTTCAAATGTATTTTCACATCCTCAGCCATATTAGGATAACACATACTTTATATCCCCCTTTTTAGCACTCCCCTTCTATGTAAAGTTTAAGAGGCTAGGGAATTTGTTTACGATAATGAACCATTTCTTTGCTGTCCTGGAAGATCATCATTATTAGTGATGAACTTAATATGTATCTCATACTAAATGATTAGCAATATCAAGGCTTGTTCTGCATTGTATAAAAAAGCATTTTAGTCCAATTTGTCCGAGAAGTGTCCCTTCACTGTCCATTAGAAGTCATTCTGAACAATACTAGCTGCCTTTAGATTGCAGTGTACAATCCTGCTCCAAAGAAACCACTAGAAATCTAAGAAACTTTTTTTTTAAATGTATTTTTAGGTGTACTGTGTGACTGGGAACACAAACATTTGGTGTGGGGGGGGGTTCTCAAATTTGGCTGTGAAGGTGGAACTACACTTTAAGGAAGGAAACAACAACTGGCCATGTGTACTAACACGTGTATTAACTAATGCAAACTGCATATGTATTTACATGCTAACAGGATCTGTTTGTGTCTAAAAAAACAAAAATGACTAGCTCTGATTGAAGTTGTCCACGTCCTTCTCTTAACAGCTCCCCTCACCCAGCTCCCCTTCCAGAGCTCCAAGTCTGCACAGAAGGCTTTGGTCACTGCTGGAAGGGGGAGCAAGGGGAGCTGAGCTGCTGTGATAATGACAAATGTATTCTGTGCTTCTGTGCTTGTTGTAAACATTGAGTATGAATTGCTCTATAATGCCTGCAGGTACAGAGGCCATTAAGGGCTTGTTTTAAAGCTCAATTACTGATTGTTAAGAATATACAAGTACTGGAACATTACAGGTAAAATGTAATGCTCAACTTCTTTGTCATGTGATGCTGCAGAGTCCTCCTCATGTTCATCTCTTCTCTGGGCTATACAATCCTTATTGATGTACTCGTGAACTTCTTTGCAATAAGATGTCCTCAGTCTTTTAGTTTGAATCATGCCCAGGAGATACTTAACCTGGAAGATTGAGCACCTACTGAGAGTGCAAGGTTTTATGGCTTTGCCCCCAAGTGCACGCCACCCTTAATTCAAAGTGTACCGATGCAAAGATCTAAATAATAAATACAATAACTGCCTTGCCACCTAGCTCTGACTAATCCAATATTCAACAGGAACCGGTATCATTAAAGCAGTCAAAGTTCCTGTAAGAGTTGTATTTCTGGCTTTAGCTACTTTCTAAAAATAACATCTAAATGATGATTGCAAAATGTTTGGGTCGGTCTAACATCTGTAGACTTCTAATACAATTTTCTGAAACACCCAGATTTCCTTTAAGGTGATCACAGACAGCCAAGAGTGATGACAGATCCATTCATTATTTACATATAAAAAGGGGACACAATGATCTTCAAGAAATGGACAGTATTAAGTGGGCATTGAATTGAATAAGCATAGAGAATGAACTTATCAGTCCTTGTGGAAAATGTGATGTTTTCTGACAAACTAATCTTTTCCTATGATTTATCAAAATATCATTTTCAATTGAAAAATCATTTGAAATGATGGATTCCATGAATAATCAATCATTTATTGTTACAGGTAAGTGTATAGACAGCTTCATATAACTGGGAGATCATTAGTATTATCTACAGATCAGACTCAAACACTTTTACTTGATCTTTCATAAGGAAAATGTATTATTTTGGCCTCTGGTAAGATAATAGTGGTGCTACAATGTCCATTGCACATATAGATATACATGCATACCCTAAGGATATAGCTATGTACATCTGTATAAAGCAGAAAATAAAGTCAGACAGATAATTTAACATTTTGAGTCCATGGTCAGCCTGAAACCCATATTTAACCAAACTTTTTTTTTTTTTTAATAGGGACTGGTTAGAACTTTGCTGTCTATGTCTCTGTTGGCAAGATTTCCACTCGCTTCCTGTCCTGGTGAAGAGTTTAAAAAGGACAGAAAATTATGA